AAAATCTAGGAGAGTGAAAGAAGGCCCTGACTAGGGGTGTGACCGGATGCTTGTTGCATGGAGGGCCCACTTCAGATTTCTTGTTAAGAATAAACAGACACATCAGTTTGGTTGGGCGTTTCTTTCTGACACATCAAGGGTACTCAAGGGCAGGCGTGGAATAGTGGTAAGGTGAGTTTAATTCAACCCAGAATAAAAAGAATCCAAGGAGGTGATTTTATAAGGATGTGTGCACTCGTGCACACAAAAATAAAAAGCAAGTAAGATTGATTGTCTTAGGGAAGGACAACTAGGTCGCATGAGGACGGGTATAGGGAGGAAATATTTTACTTTATATCCTTTCATGTCCATTGAATTTGAGCCACAGAAAATAATGAACTCTTCAAAAATGATAAGATAAATTTAAGGAGAGATAAGTGATGTGAAGAATGCAAAAAGGACAACGGGAAAGGGATAGGTGGACCTCCTACAGGTACTGCTGTGGATGAAGTGGTGACAGGAGCTGACTAAAGGGTATGAGGGTTCTGTTGTTGTTGTTGTTGTTGTTGTTGTTGTTGTTTACAGCCAATTACAATGCTTTCTATTCTGAGCTTGATTGGGACATGAGTTATCTTTTGGTCATCCAAAATCGTTAGGCTAAATAATCAAAATTGGGAAGATTCATTATGTTTATTTATAATGCTAAAATGCAGTAGATTTAATTTTCTTTCCCAGTTCAGTTATGTGGTTGAACTGGTGAATAAGTCAAGCTTTCTAAAAATTCTTATAGGAAAGACTTTAAAAGCCATTGACTTGTAGCTTGTGTCAGTCAGCTTATCAATAGGACAACTTTTAAGGTCTTAGATGTGGACCCTGCACTTGCTATTAATACAAGAGGGGGCCCCCCAAAAACCCTGGAATTGCCTTCTGGAGGGCAGGCCCCTTGTAGTGCAGGCTTCCTATGCTAGGTGATTGTTCTAGGAACCCATCTGTGTTAATGTACCAACTGGCATTGTTGTAAGGGGAAATGCATTCAGCTTCAGTGAATGTTTTTTGAAGACTCTTCCAATGCATTTCCCCATTTCATGATGGGTGATTTACAGGTGCACCTGCCCACATGGCACTGAGTGCTCAGCAGTTTTTGACCAAACACACCATGACCCCCTGGTGTCCCACCCTCCCTAGTCACCCGATCTCACCCGGAGCAACTTCCCACCCACCCCCATGAAAAAAATCCTCCATGGGAAACATTTTGCCAATATGCAAGAGGTGAAATAAAAAATGGCAGAAGCACCAAAAGGCATCAAAATGGACAAGTTCAAATGTTTTGAGCAGTGGAAAAAATGTCTCGATAGGTGTATTGTGTCAAATGGAGAGTACTTTGAAGGCGACTGACGTTTCAACACATAAGAATAAATACACAGTGTTTTATAAACCAATTCCATTTTGGGGAGTCCCCCCCCCACCCCCGTAGGTGAAGGCAAAAGGAGAAAGACTCAGCTGCCTGCAGGGCAAACTCTCACGGGCAATTCCTACCTGACTCTAGAGTGAGGAGTGATCCCATTCTTTGAGTAGGCTCTGAAATCCCCTGCTCACCTCTCTGAAGCTGCTGTTTGTGTCTGTTTGCAAACAACCATCGTTTCAAAGTCGTGGGTAGCCTACTGTCAGTTAGTGGAGCCTGGCTTGTGCTCCTGTGTTTGTGTGCACATGTATGTACATGTGTGTGTATGAATTGGGTGTGGTATGTAAGTACCATGTCTGTGAGGAAGCAGAAAAGCGTGCTGTGCAATATTCGGCATATTTGAGGCACCCATTTTCTAAGGCTGTTTCCCTGCCACCGCAGGAATCCCTATAGGGCAAAGCCAGCCCTGTCGACTCATCTTTTGTTACCAGGGAGCCTCTGTTCCTCAGTGAATATCCCTTTTCATTCATTTTCAAATGACTTCTTTGATATGCGCATTGTTAAATATGCACACGCTAGAGGCAAAAGTAGGTGTATGGATAGATTTGCATAAATATAAATACAGTATATGTACCCATATTTAAGTGATCTAATGATAATATTGTGTTGCCACCCCAGAGTGAAAGCTAATTAATTCAGCTATTGAGATGGTAATGATTTCTTTCTCAGTTAATATCAGAGAAAAAAGCTGCGGATTTTTCCTACGCACTGTTCCTTTGACTCATCTTGGAATAAGGAGTTTTATTTCTGTTATCGATTGAGCCATCAGTATCTGACAGTGTTAAAGGGAATTGTTCCTGGCAGGGGCTGAAAATTAGTAGAAAGATCGACTCGGGCTAGAGTGGTTATTGAGCTCAAGAATGTGGTACCAGGAAAGAAAGAGTTTTTTGCCTATAGTCTCTTTAAAATACATACTTTGGTATTTGCATTCCTAATATCAACTTTGATCTGAAGCACAGTCTCTTTCTAGACTTTCCACGGTTGAATTTGACTTTTAGGAAAGTGGTAAGATCTTTCCTACTGCAACTTATGCTCAATGACAAATTCGCAAGCAAGTCTATCACTGTTTAGCCTGGACATCTCTAACTTTTCCTTCAGCCTTTGATTTCGTATTTGGTTACCACGTCCTGATTGTTCTTGTGTCCTCCTCCCTGTTCTCACCACAACCCCCGCCCCCCTCAGGTTCAGACATTGGGCATCTTGGCTGGTCTCCTCTCTCCAGTCTCCCTGTTCTCCCTTTCTTCCCCTCATACCAAGGATTCTTCTCAACACGCAGGTTAGGGCACACCCTCCCCTGCCAAAAACCCTGAAACCCTTTAATGGCTTCACCTTCTACACAGTGAAGACTCAACTCCTTAGGTTGGCATTCCAAGGCACTCAACCACAATCTGTCCCCCTGCATGACCTCACTCATCTCCCACTCATTTAGCTGTTCTTGCTAACCTCCCATCGACATAGATTGTTCAGACTTCCTTGGAATTTCTGTAACTCCCTGCCTTTGCTCATTTCCCAGAGTGTCCTTTCTTTTTCACAGACCGTATTTCAAAATCCTACTTGTTCTCCAAGATCCAGCTCTAATTCTACTTCCCTCATGGATTCCTCCATGATTCCCTCTACTTAAAATTAATTAGGGTTATTCCCAGGCCATATAATGCCTTTTTCTCAAGACACTTGACTTCTAGCTGTAAGAAAATTGTCCTATTAGACAAGGTCTGATGCAAATAACACCGCTTTTTTATTACAAAATCATAAGCATGTAATTCTGTAACATAACAATAGATGCTACATTCCAAAGTGAACCCATCTTGCAACAGATAGTAAAAAACTATTTAAATACCTCACCCACTTTGAGGGTATGAAGTAAGCAGGAAATGGAAATTACAGAACAGCATTGCTTCCAAGATTTGGGCGCATATGACTACTGTGCAATGAACCCCACATCCCCACTGGAAAGGGGTGAATGTGGGGTGCGGTGTCTTCTGCTGGGGCCCACGACTGAAACATATGGTACTTCTGTGAGAATTAGGGAAAGGGGTCCCCCTTTCCTCAGTGGAAGGGCCTTCAACAGGGACCACTTGAGGAGCCTGGCACGTGTCCCCTGAAGCTGAGGGAGACTGGAGGCTGGCATCTGAATTTCACCCAAGAAGTTGAAAGGACAGAAAGACGTATGGAAGACTGTTTATGGATAAGTGGGAGAGATTTCTGTGCCGCACAGAGTTTCTTGGACCACAGAAAGTCAGCATGGAATTATCTTAAGTCCTTGGCCAGAGGGCCATGTGGAGGGGCATCAGAGTCAACAGGGTGGAGGTGAATTGCCAGATTCCTAGATGCTGAAGGAGATACAAGCTGTGGGCTAGAATAGAGATGTACTTGCCTGAGTGAAGGACTTACAGAGGAAAGTATCCCAGTGATGGGAGGTGTTCTCTAGAGAGCCCAGCCCCCAAAAGGAAGTCAATTTCAGAGACTTGCTAGCTTTCCAAGCCAGCTTCTAACAATAGAGGCAAATGCTGTAAGTACTTTCCTGTCACTTCCTACCTCACCCCCCACCCTCCTCTCCTCATTTGCCCCTCCACCTCGACTCTGGAAGTTTCAAGAACTATGGTTGGTCAGGTGGAGGAGAAAGAATAGAAGTGGCGAGTGGAGAAAAGGAGAGTCGTCTCCTGTCCCCGACTCTAGACAGATTAACTGTAGCAGGCTGCAGCTACAGCTACCCCTTTTCAGGGGGATGTTTGCTTTTAAATCGAGGTTAGCATCTTTATTGTTACACCAAGCTGGGCATATTAAATACTGAATTAAAACCTTGAACGTGACCTCTTCTTATCTGCCTGGTAAACAGCAACTCATTTTCCAAGACTTAGCTCAGTGCTCACTTCTGAGTCTGACCTCTTCCTCCAGAGCTGACCATGCTCCCTGCCTCCCCTACCCCCGCACAGCCCATGAATGCTGGATTTACTTGTTTGGTTGTTCACACGGCTTTGCCCTCAACCTGCCACGGGTGTCCCACCTTTTGGCATCTCTGAGCCACTCTGGAAGAAGCGTTGTCTTCGGCCACACATGAAATACACAAACACTAACGAAAACCGATGAGCAAAAAAAAAAAAGGTTTTAAGTAAATGTACAATTTTGTGTTGGGCCTCATTCATGGCCATCCTGAGCCACATGCGCCCGCGGGCCGCGGGTTGGACTCCCCTGACTCCAAGAGGGCAGGGAAGACTCTTCACCTTTGAATCACTAACACCTGGAGTAAGTGCGCTGGCGCATAACTGACCCCCCAGTGCAGGGAAATAAACATAACTCACCTTAAAAAACTCAGATTTTTTTTTCCTAAGAGAAGTTATCATTGAAATGTGTCTTTATTTTTGAGGGATAAATTGAGATCAGAATCTTCCTGGATGGTGCGGGGCAGTTGGAAGTGCTTTCGTCAGTGTTACACTTGAGGATCGCCTGGATGCTGTGCCCAGGGGCACGTGAGAAAGTGCCCGGGCATCTTGATCCTAGTGTGCTTCTCTGCGGAGAAGGTGTCAGGAGCCTTTTACTCCTTTCTGTGTTTCTGCCACAGGTTTCTTCCGGCGAAGCATCACCAAAAACGCCGTGTACAAGTGTAAAAACGGGGGCAACTGTGTGATGGACATGTACATGCGGAGAAAGTGTCAGGAGTGCCGACTAAGGAAATGCAAAGAGATGGGAATGTTGGCTGAATGTATGTATAGAGGTATTCACATCAAGCCATTAAATTCCACTAAATATCTCTTAAGAAGGCAGATGTCAGGTAACTCGTCTCATGAGAGTGGTACTTCACGTATGAAAGAAGGAGTATACTAATCTGTGTAAGTTCTAGAGAAGGATAATGGAACCACTGGAATTGTCCAAACTGTCAGCTACAGAGTGTGCCGTTCACCTGAAGCTGCTGTGTTTTATTGTTCATTGTTGCATTAAATTAGGGATGGAGTGAAGTGGCATTGTTTTTATAAACTACAAAGAATGACAGTCTAAGAGTTTCCTCCAAATTAGATTTAGCATCTTTTACATTTATTGTTTAATTAGCATAAAAATTCACAGTCGTGGGAAAGAATAAGACTAAGGTGTAACTGCCTCTGAATTGTCTAAATAGAGTTTTAAGCCAAGTCATTTTATTAAGAATCCTCCTTTTTGGGTGCAGCTCTAAACCAATTTGTATAGATTTACACAGGAAATTAACTACCCTGAGTTTTAATATCATTTGGCCCTTCAATCTGATAACAAAAGACACCGTATTAACTGCTGGCTTTGTGAGAAACCGTAATCTTCATCAACATTTGGAATGCGTGCTAGTATATAACATATTAAGTTTTCATTCTGAAAATTGTACAGACTACTCAGATTCAGAGATATGTCCTCTTCCCCCTCAAAACACAAATAGACAAACAAATGTCACCAAGGGGATGGGAACAGTCAGGGAGGGAATGCCACATGAAATAAAAGCCTTTGGAAGGCGATTCCAGTTCTATTGTTTCCAAACCGTACAGGCAACTGGGATGCACCCAGAGAAATAATGCGTGCAGGAGGGAAAAAAATAGGTCGGTGTAAATAATCCAGCTCTGGAAGGATGAAAGTTTTATAGTGGTCGATCACAATCTTCTCTTGGCATATATGAAACAAGAGCCTGCAGCAGGCGCTGCTGCTGGAATCCAATCTTGCAATGGAAACATTTACTTCGATACTGGGTGGTTCGTGTTGCTCATCACTTAAACATGAACTTGTCCCAACTGAAGCTCTGAGGACATTTTTCATGACTCCTCCTGTAAGAGCCTCTGATATTATTTATGAAAGCTTTAACAGATGCAAAGCTGTCCCATGATCCTATGAACTAAATTCCCTGGACAAAGAAATTCCTGGGATTTAGTTTCATTAACACTGAGAGAATGAGGAAGTTAAATGGGAATGTGGAAGATCATTCTATGTTATTTTTTTTATAGCTCTATTAAGTGTAGACTAGTGATGATATATGATTATTCAAACGAAAATTTTTAAGTCCCCTTGAGTTATTTTCATCTTTAACTATGGTCTCAATAATTTATACAGTTCTGAAAATTAACAAGATCTGAAGTTTTTCCTAAAAGATCTTGGCATTTGTTTTATTCAGCATGTTTACATATATATATTTAATATGAAATTGAATATGTATCTTATGGTACAATTATGTAAACATGGATGAAAAATAATATTATTACTATGTTTTGAAACAATAATTTTCAAAGTTCCCAAGGACAGGAATAGGGAGTGTCTTTCTTCATTTTATTGATCGAATGAATACTTTGCATTTGTACAGTGCTTTGGCATTACCTCTTTATATAAAACTCACTTAAAAAGTGACATGGTAACATTTAATCTGCACAAAATACTGCAAGGTAGATATCATTCCCACTTTATGAATGAGGAAACTGAGACTCACAGAAAATCAGTTTCTTGTTCAAAGCCAAGTCTTAAAACATCAGAAGGAGTAGAATCAGCTCTGGGCCAAACTGTGTAGAAAATCTTATGAGCCAACTACATATCAGCTGCCTCGTGGCCACACGCCCAACAGTACTTTCTGTGGTCAGTTAAGTCTCTGTGTTTGTTTTTCCTTCAGGCTTGTTAACTGAAATTCAGTGTAAATCTAAACGACTGAGAAAAAACGTGAAACAGCATGCAGATCAGACCATTAATGAAGACAGCAAAGGACGTGACTTGCGACAAGTGACCTCAACAACCAAGCCCTGCAGGGTAATGACACGCAACGGCGCCTGCCAAAGCCGGCAGCGGCTGGGCTTCTAGGCATGCGGTGATCTGGCTGGGGGACTTGCAAATTAGAACCACAGCTATGAGCAGAACTGCATTTCAATTGTGCATTAAATGGGCTTCTTTTTAATCAAGGGAGTAATACATCCTTATGTGTAAATTTCAAATAAGTGACAGGTCTTCTCCTTGGCTCCATTCCATTCCTACTTCCCAAAGGTTGCCAGTAAAAAGTGGTGTGGTGTATGAAATGGATTTTTCAAACTGAGTTTGATGACCTGCCAGTGAGAAGGGAGGATCAGACTGGGAAGGGTGTGGACCCAGTAGAGACTTATGAGTTAGTTTTTATTCACGGGTAACACAGGGTGAATACACATTTGTGGACCGAAAGAGAAAAGCCCTTCTCATTGAGGTCACGAATTGCTCCAGAAATCCTTTGAGCAACTTGGGACAAATAGAGGAATAGCTTCTTGTATGATTAGCTAAACAAATTGATAAGGCACGGGGCATTTCAAGGAATTTTAATTTGCTAATAGCTGAAAATCCAATAATCCATTTTTGTTCAAGTCCCATCCTTCTTAATATTTATTATACTACTGGCAAAAGAAACTTCATCCATGTTTAGTTTTTCAAATATATTATTTTATTTTTTTTTCAGAAAAATTATTGGGTATAAATGTATTATTTGCCATAATGCTTTATCAGTAACACTTTGGTAGAAGGAAGCAAAGAATTAACACAATTGTCCACCCTGGTCAAAAGATGTTAGTAAGGGAGAAAGAGATGCTTAAGGTCGGAATCATCCAGATTAATGACTCTCTACTTCAGGGGTCAGTGAATTTTTTTCTGTAAAGAGCCAACTATTTTAGGCTTTGGCCACATGGTCTCCATCTCTACCGTTCAATGTACAGTAGCATCGATAATGCATGAACAAAGGAGGATGGCTGTGTCCCAGTGGATTTCCAAAACCAGGTGGAGTTGGTTGATGGGCCATAGTGTCAGCCCCTGCTCTAAATGAATAACCTCAAATGGATTCTTCGTTTGATATTTGGGAACTTTTCCTTAGTTATGACTAAACCTTGAACTTTCACTGAACTTGTCTATGAATGGGCTCAATAGGCTTTATATCCAAGCCATTATTTATTCCTCAGAAATACATGACAAAATATTTTGTCTTCCCTGTTTTACAGAGAAGAAAATGAGTAACTTGGGACAGCTTTAGGGAAATATGATTTGGCTTGCCCAGGGACTCAGAAGAGGCGATGACACATTGTATCAGAGCGTATTCCCAACAATGTCTGATACTGGTTTACTCCAGATGAGTGCGCGTATATGAAAAATGCCTTACAACCCCCCTCCCTAACACCTTTCATTTTTCTGCCAGTGTAGGAGAAAACTGAACTCACCCCGGAACAACAGACTCTCCTACATTATATTATGGATTCATACAGCAAACAGAGGATGCCTCAGGAAATTACAAATAAAATTGTATGTAGAATATCTGAAAATGCATGGGCTAAAGTTAATATTTTCTGGGGCCTTTCCTACATTACCAGTGCAATTGATATATAAATATATTACTTTGAGATGATTAGAGCTGAGAATTTGTTATGCATTAAACTTTTAGCAGCATTAAATAACTAATGAGTAAGAAGTCTCATATCTATCTTGGTAACAGTAATTGCTGTCCAAGGATCTGCAGAATATGAGTGGAGTCTTTAAATGTTATTGTCGAAATTTGGTTCTAGAGCCTAATGCTTTTATATTGCTTTATCCTTTTACCTATTTATTAATCATTTGCTTTTTTCTTCTAATTTAGTTAAAAGAAGAATTCAGTGCAGAAGAAAATTTTCTCATTTTAACTGAAATGGCTACCAGTCATGTACAGATTCTTGTAGAATTCACAAAGAAACTTCCAGGTATCTTTACATGTGGTTACTTCTCTGCTATGCTGTGCAATGCTCTTGTGAGGTTAAGAGAAGCCAATCTCTTTGTTGCAAAATGAGAATTACCTCACATCTGATTTAATGTGTCTACTATAGACATAAAAATGTTAGAGCCAGATAGGATGTTTAAAATCATTTCCAGTAATTCTTCCAAATTGACAAATTAAGAAATTGAGACTTTGCAAAGTTGTAATTTATTCATTTAAAAATATGTGTTGATACCTACTCTATACTAAGTATCTAGCTATTACCTTCAAGGAGAGATTAAATGCTATAGTAAAAGTCTATATACAAAGTGCTGTTTAAATAGCGAGGGAGTAATTGCTAATTGTATCTGAGAAGGATAGGAAGGCTTCTGAGAGAATCATATTTGAGTTGGATCTAAAACAACAAGGAGTTTTTCAGGTGGTATGAAGGAGAAGGGGCATTTGAGTCAAGAAATCTGTTGTGAAAAGTACAAGAAACCGAAATTCAAGATTCTTATCTCTCAGCCTCCAATTCTTTTAGACCCAGTTTCAATGTAAGTTTTTAAAAATTAAAATTTCATGATCTAGAAGAGTATAATAAACACCTTGTATAGCTGCATAACACTGTGATATTAAATTACAGAAGGTAACTTCTGACATCAGATTTTAATTAAACATGTTAATTTGCCTTCTTTTGTCAGCATTTGCTATTATTTTATTAAATGTGTCATTGGTAAACATAAGCCTACATAAAACTCATAAATTTCAGGAGAAATTTCTTGTTATCATTAAAACATTAATATTCTCTCATTTCTTTACTAACAATGAAAGCAGAACTTAATTTGTTATATGCTAATTAAGCTGAAGGCAATCTTGATCACAAACAAGATTATTCAAGAGTAAAAACCATGGGAGAAGACATTGGGAAGAGAGAAATATGTTTATTTGTTTATGGAAAAAGATTTTTCATTTCAAATGCTCAGTTGGTCTTGAACTAGGAAATATTTGAAGACAAAAATTGTCTCACTCATCAGAAGTAGCTTATCTGAAAGCAATGGCAATATCTTACACGTCTCTTCCATCCGGTGCCTGGACTGGTTCCTGAGGGAGAAGAGGAGTACAATTGATGTGTGTTGAGTGAATAAATCAGAAGGAAAAAATTAAAAATACGGAAAGAAAGAAAAGGCAAAAATAAAACCCTTGAGAAAAAAACATTTTAACAATAATTATAGCAATGCCATTATTACAAATAGTAATAATAGCAATGCAATACTAATAATGAAAGAGTGTTTTGTGAGGGACCTAGTTGACTCATCCCATCCTGCAGTTCACAGAGTAGCATCTGTGCCAGGCCCTGTCCAGGGTGCTAGAGACGTGGCATGTCTCCTGCCCTCAAAGGGGTCCTTAGAATCTCCAGAACAGTGACATTCATCCACTCATCTGCTGATGGGCACCTAGGCTGCTTCCACATCTTGGCTGTTGTAAATAGCACTGCTATGTGTGGGGACTGACTAGGGGAGTGGGGATCGGATTGGGTGGAGAGGGGCAATAAAGGGGGAAATTGGGATAAATGTAATAGCATAAACAATTAAAAAAAACTCTGACATTATTTCTTGATCCTCAGCATTACCTTCTTCTCTAAACTCCCAAACTCCCGTTGCTATTTAATACTTCCCTAAGCCATTTAGACCCTGGAGGCATTATGTTATCTCTATTCATGGGGCATGTGTATACACATGAGCACATGAGCTTGTGTTTGTTTCCCATTCATTACTCTCGTCATTCATTACTTCAGTCATTCCCCCCGCCCCCCGCCCTGCACAGCGCAGTGCTGAGCTCAGAGAAGGTATCTCAACTTGACCTTCATTAGATTTTATATTGGAAGTCCAATGCGCTGTGCACATTGCACATATCCATTGCACAATGGAGCCACCTGTTGGAAATGCTACCCATTCTCCAGGTTGGCTGAAGATTCATGAGTTGGCCAAATAATTCTTTAAACCTCTGGATACATAAAGATTTCTTTGGCTTGTGAATACTTCCATTCTGTAGAGTTGACCTGTGACACCAGATGTAACAAACATGATCAAAGAGAATCTGTTTGCCTGTACATTTTGAGGGTTGCTTCATCCGTATCAGCCTGTCTTTGCCATTATATATATTTGACGGGGTTTGACATTCTCTTTTGCCCAACTTGTTTGTCAGATCCTACTTGCTGAAGATAAGAGTCACCATCTCTTTGGGAGAGATCAATAGATAATTATTGACTGAGCTTGACTACCCAATCTTAAAACAACTACAAAATAATTTTATGAAAATGTTTTATCAGAGAGGATGCTGGTGCTGACGAAATACTGTTTTCCAGCATCCACAGCACCTTGATACTGATTCGATTATCCTCTTCACCCAGGATTTCAGACGTTGGACCACGAAGATCAGATCGCTCTGCTGAAAGGGTCTGCAGTTGAAGCCATGTTCCTCCGTTCAGCCGAGATTTTCAATAAGAAACTTCCGGCGGGACATGCTGACTTGCTGGAAGAGAGAATTCGAAAGAGTGGTAAGTGACGTGGTTCATGGTTAAAAGAGTTTGTTTTTGCAAGAAAGAATTTGCACAACTCATGAAGGCAGGACTCTTGCTTGTCTTCCACAGTGTTACATGCCCATTATGACTAACAAGGAGAAAGGCTCTGCAAAGATACATGTGGAGTAGGTGGGACTTTCAGAGTCTTGGTTCAAAAAACCTTGTTGCAATAGCAAAATACGAACAGTACTCTTTTCACTGTGCTGAGAGGAAGGGCCACAGGAGGGGTTTTTCAAAAATTTGGAAAATTAGTCTGGTAAAAAATATAGCATAAAGGAGCCCTGGTTATTCGGTCCAGAAAAAAAATTCATTTATTTAAAGCCCCCAGTGCTGAATGCCTATATATCAAACTATTATCAATCTTTATTCAAGGAAAAATAAGAAGGAATAATAGTAGCAACTTTTATATGTAATTTACTAGGTTTCAGACACTGTTCTAATACTTTACATATATAATTCCATCAAATCCTTGAAATATCCTGTGAAATGCATACCATTATTGTTCCTATTTCCCCATTTTATAAATGGGAAAGCCATATGTCTTAAGCATTGTGCTGCAGTGCCTCTCAAGAGAAAATGAAATAATATCAATAGTATGAGTAATTCAGTTTAACTAATTATAGAGTAACAGTAACACAGAGGGTCAAGTGACATCTCAACAGAACAACAGAAAAACAACAATGTCTCAACAACACAAAACAGAAACAGCCTTGACCGGTGTGGCTCAGTTGGGTGGGCATCATACTGCAAAACAAAAGGTCATTGGTTCGATTCCCTGTCAGGGCACATATCTGGGTTGTGGATTCCGTTCCAGTCTGGGCGAGTCCAAGAGGCAACCAGTGGATGTTTCTCTCTCACATCATGTTTTGCTCCCTCTCTTTCTTCCTCCCATCCCCTCTCTCTAAAAATAAATAGACGACATCTTTTTAAAAAAAGAAACAGAACCCATAGATGAACCCACAGAGAAAAGCTGATGGTTACTAAAGGGGAGAAGGTAAGGGATGAGGAAAATTATGAAACAATAATAATAATAATGATAGACATCAGAATGGGTTACCAAGAATTTTGTGCAATATTTCTTAAAAGATATGAATAAGTTGTTATTTTCCTGAGAGATTTTATGTATGGTTTGGGGGTATAAATGCAATGAGATGACTTTTGAAGGTGTTTTTTTCCTAAAGTATTATTATTTCTATAATTGACTGGAACAAGTTTAAATACTTATAAAACCAGTATTATAAAATAGAGATTGGAAGAAACATTTTCAGGCCACTCTGTATCTTTAATATAAGTAAAGTAATTGAAAATTGCCCTGGCTGGTGTGGCTCAGTGGCTTGAGTGCCGGCCCGCAAACCGAAGGGCCACTGGATTGATTCCCAGTCAGGACACCTGCCTGGGTTGTGGGCCAGGTCCCTAGTTGGGGGCGTTCGAGAGGCAACCAGTCGATGTATCTCTCACACATGGATTTTTCTCTCCTCACTTCCTCCCTTCCCATCTCTCTAAACAATAAATACATAAAGTCTTTTTAAAAAAGAAAATTAAAAATTATTCTTAAACGCAGCCTTACCATAGTCATTATGCTTTCTCCTCTTAGTTTAAGACTAAAAGCATCATTAGCATCATTGGTAGATTTTAAAACATTTTAAAAAGATTCATTATTTCTATATACCCACTAATTTTTTTTTTTAGTTTAACAACTCTGTAAGAGCAAAGTACTATGGTGATAGTGAGGAGAGGAATCGGCCATGCTCCCTCCCCTGGGAAGTTTGCAGTCTAGTGGGAAGATGTGAACTGTACAGAGACAGTTAAAATAAAATGTGGAAAAGGAATAACAGAGAGAGATGACTTCCAGTTGGGAGGGCTTGGGAAAGTTTTCATTGGCATTTCTGCAGGACCGTGAAGGATGTTTTATGTGACACTCAGAGTGGAGGTGCAGGAGATGAGGACGGGCAGGAGCAGAAGGACGGAGGCAGGAAAGCTCAGGTTATGCACACGGAGTGAATGGTTGGTTTTGGTTGGATGAAGAGTTATATTAAAAAGAGATAAAAAGAAAATAGAGTCAGAACCAAATGGTTGAGGACTCTGAATGCTTGGTGAAAGCTTTTATTCTTTATTTCCTACGTAATGGGGAGACATTAAAGATTTTTGAGCAGGAAGGGAAAATATCGGCATGCTTTACAAGCCTTCCAGCAATGTTAGGATAAGCCAGGATGGGAGACATCTGGTAGGAGGCAGCAGATACCAGGAATGTGACCCCTGCTCTGGGGCAAATGGGGAGGAAGAGAAGGAGCTAAGAGATACATTACTGCAGCTTTTCGCCCTTTGAAAGACATTGTGTTGTCCAGAAATATGGATTCTGGTCCGGGACCAATAGTATCACTTACCTGTTCAAGGTCTTAATTATAGTGTGTGTGTGTGTGTGTGTGTGTGTGTGTGTGTGTGCGCGTGCGCGCACGTGCGCACGTGTGCATCTGTCTGTCTGTCTGTCTGTCTCCAGGAGACGGGGTAAGAGAGAAGGGTTGAATCAGGTAACCAGGAAGGCACAATCGAGTTCTACAACTTTTATTGCTTCTCTTAATTCTTCTCAATTTAATGTTCTCAGTAAATATTCCTGATTGATGGTTTAGCCAGTCACTTGATCAGCTGCTTAAGTATCCTGATTAATTTTATTATTTTAACTTACTTTATGGTGGTAAGAACATTTAACATAAAATCTACCCTCCTAACAAAAGTTTTAGTGGTATTGTTGACTATAGGCACAATGTCGAACAGACAACAGATCTCCAGAATTGACTCATCTTGCTTAACGGAAAATTTATGCCCATTGATTGGGGTGGGGGAAGGAGTTACTAATTAATGGGCAAATACCTTGATTTTAAAGTTGTGGTTAGTAATCAACAGTTCACCTTAGGAAGGAATCAAGGATGGAAGCTGCTGAATTTTCACACGCATGAATCTGTTAGTTCAGGCTGTTGAATGTGAATTGTTGGCTCTTGGTTTCTGGGCCCTGGTTTCTGTACACTGCGAGGGCCCTGTTTAAGAAAATACGTGAATCCAATCTAGTCTTTAAAAAACTAATAAAGTAAAAACAGATGACGACTCATGGGATGAAATATTTTTAATTTTTACAGCTATGTCTCATTAACAGAAGATATTACTCTGGTTGATGTATTTTTGGTTTATACATCAATAGACACTGGTGATTAAGAATCTGACTTGAATCCAGGCTCCACTACTTATCAGCTATATGTCCCCCCCTTTTTTGTTAAAAACTATTGAAATACACCCCCATGAATAATTTGATCTCTTAGAAATCATGTCTAACTTTAGTATTTGTTCTAGAGTCTCCCCTGGACTTTGATATTAAAAACTGTAGGCAGGGGGGGCCTCTTTTTTGACTTAGTATTTTATCCTAAGTACCCAGCATTTGCCTGGCTTGGAGTGGGTGCTCAACAAACATCTGTGAAATGGATGGATGGATGGATGGATGGATGGATAGATAGATGGATGGATGGATGGGTGGGTGGGTCGGTGGATGGTTGGATGGGTGGGTGGGTGGATGGTTAGATGGGTGGGTGGATGGGTGGGTGGGTGGATGGATGGATGGATGGGTGGGTGGGTAGATGGGTGGATGGTTGGATGGGTGGGTGGATTATCTGAAGCTATGACTCTGGACATTTATTTTCTTTTTAGATGGTTCTTTCCTTGTATAGAACACCCCATTCACCCCAACAGGTCCAGTCTTGCCCCAGACTCAGCAAACTCTGGGGAGCCCTATATTGCGTCTAATTCTAGGAACTCGGCTCAGTCTCGTTCCTTGTGACAATCCCTGCCTCCAGTGTGAGTCTGTTTGGTGAGTCAGAAAGGCTTGAAAGTTGACAATTGAATCATGGAAGAGGATTAGGAACTTTTCAAGCCACCAAAGTCTGAGGAAGGCATTCCAAGATATATAGCCATTATAATATAATAATAGAGGAGTGCAGAGATGTGAAGGAATGAGAGAGGGAATAAGCATGCCTAGGACTCAGAAGTACTGTAATATTATTTAAAAATAATATTTATGAAGCTAAAATTATAGTAAGTACTAGATTATTAAGGATGTCGAATGCCACAAAAGTACTGTAGTTTAATTTATTCCTTATATAATGCGGTGCCTTTGTAATATTCTGGGTAGATGTGACATGACCACAGAGGTACTGTAGAAAGATCTTCCCAGCAGTGATACGAGGCAGGATTTAGAGGGATTAAGCAAGAAGCACGGAGGCCTGTGAAGAGACCAGTGAAGTCACTAGGTAAGAAATGGTGAGGGTCTTGCAGGTTAAAAACATGTAAGCAAAAAGAAAAATCTTACTCGATAGCATGAATTTCAGAACTTGATTCTGCAAGTTTCAGAAAAGTCCAAAATCAACGTTTTCTAACGGGCGATCTCTATAAATAAATACACATGCCTCTAGATCATAATAAGATACTTTACCCAAACATCAACCACATATTGTGAAAATAAAAAGCATCAGATTCACATGCTGTGTAGTCTTTTATTACCTATAATTATGGTTCTACTTATTAATATTTATGAATTTGCTTCTCCCAGTGGATTTTCAGAACATTAGCTCTTCCACACATCACATACAACCTGATCTTGCAAGATGACCTTTTAGAATAACTTCTCATTCCTATGAAAATATAACGCATTCTTATTTCTATTGTACCTCTAATTCCACAGTAAAATAATATCTCAGTTGCCCTGTTTATGCCTACACAACTCTTTAAAGAATATAGTGTAAATTTCTTTTCTTGTTGTCCAAATTCATACTCCTTTGTTTGCTATTATTAAATCCCAATTACATGCATTAAGATACTGTCTCCTGAGATACATTTACTTAATGAAGGTTACAGTGTTTATTTATGTGAAGTGAGGCTTCAGAACATATATCTGACACAACCTGTGGTTGTTTCCACACAATTCTAGTGCATCA